AAGGGCATGATTACTAGTAGACAACAATGAACTGAAGAAGTTGCACGGTAGCTTTGACCTCTGCATCGAGCAATGCACACAACCATCTCTATTATATTATTTAACGAAGCCTTACAAAACAAAATACACGAATCAAGTCAAAGCCACCTTTCTTGTGAACAATGTCGCCATTCCTTCAAGCTTGATGATATAGTATATACCCTAATCTCACACCAACACACAACAAGTAATCTGGTGGCCTTGCCAAGGCGCCCGTCGGCTAGTCGGGAGCACCAACCAAGTCTAGCAGATCCTCAATGCGCACCGCATGCACCCGCTCTATACTCAGTCGTCGCTATCTTCAAAAGTGATCAATGCATTGACCTTGTCAGATCCTTCAACCGTCGACGCCACCAAAAAGGCAGACAACGCCACCTCCTACGCATGCCATCAGCATGTGTCCAACACCGAGACCCCACTGCGCCACGCCGCCGAGACCCGCTGCCGTCAACGCTGAAGATGCACTACCACTCCACCTCCTGTCTCTTCCAGTCAGCACCTACTCCAGAATGATGCCTCTAGAAGGGAGAATGGCACCGAAGGTGTCATCATTGCGCGATCTGGGTGACCCAGATCTAGGGTTCACCATGGAACATCCCGAGTGTGGTGGCGCAACTTGCAACAATGATGCCTAGCAAAGAAACGATGTCAAAGACTCATCATCGTCCGCCATGACCTAAGTCGGCACGCTTTTCCCCGAAAGTCGCACCACCCCGATCCAAGGTTTGCTTACCGAATGAGGCAATTTTACGGAGGGGGGCTGGTAAATGTGGTTACCACAGTTACCGAGAAATGCCGAGAATATTTTGAGCGAATTTTATAGTTGAATCTTGAATTCAAATAAGTCAATGAACGAATATTCGAACCAGAGACCTTCCAAAACAGGAACTAGGTTGCTACCAACACGCCAGAACTAACTCTCATGGCATTAATTAGATCCTACTTACTTTACTGTAAATCGAGTGTTTAATTTTTTTTAAAGGTATTTTTTGCTTGGTATGGCGATTTACCGAGGGGCACAGAAATACGCGGTAACCATGAATTTTTTTTAAATTTCGACCGGTAATCAAAACCTTGCCCCGATCACGCCGCTGATTGGATCTGCGCGCAGCCCTGCCATGTCATGTCACCGGAATGCCGGTAGAGAGCCTCCAGCAGCCCCACATCGGTCCTATCACTTGCCGTTGACCAGTCAAAGCCTCGCGTGACGGATCTGTCTGGTACGCCAAGATCCACGGCGGCCGCCGACGCCCATCACACAGCAGGGTAGCTTACCGGATCACCCAGCCGGCCATGCGATTACCCCACCGCCCATCACACAAAGAAACTTATAGCGGTGAAGATACTAGAGTTGTATTTGTGTTGTTGTACGGCACTTTTCGTTGGGCATACACTCAGCTTTTCAGGACATGTTCTCTGGCAAAATTCTGCAACATAGACTTATTGGATCATTAGTCCATAACAGAAGGCACTCATGGTTGACGAGCATCACTGGGTGGTTACAATGCAAAGAATTGCTCAATGATTTTGGCACATGGAGCCTATCTACTCATGTAGAGGAGATTACAGAATTGATTCGTTGCCATGTTGAATTTGGGTGGGCGAACTACATAGGGGGTAATGAGAATCACAGGAGGTTTAGAGTGTGTTTGTTTGAGCTTTTTTCGTAGCTTTTTTTT